TTGGAGCGAGGCAGTCTGGGAGCACTCACAGCCTCTAAGAGCTGGCCTCCTAAATAATTAATGTTCAACAAGCTTTATGCAATCAAGTGTGTCTTAAATAAGCTTGGCAATGCTCTCAGCCTGGCAGAAATGTGTTGACATGGCCACAAAGTTAATGAAAACTCAACTTTGTTGCTGACCCCAGGTAACAGCCTATTATATACTAGTACACTAATGGCTAGGATATGAATAGTTTTACATTTGTATCAATATCAAAGGCCATCAGTTTCTCAACCTAAATGTGGTGTTTTTTGCACTTCCTCTTTTATTCAGGAGCTGGTTGCTTTGGGTCTCAGTAACACTGTCGGCGGCTTCTTTCAGTGTTACTCTGTCACTTCCTCCTTGTCTCGCAGCCTCGTGCAGGAGAGCACAGGGGGCAAGACACAAGTAAACACACATATGGGGGAAAAAAGGCCCAAATACCACTGATTATATTTAATTATTATGTCCTACTTGGGGCTTTTTTATGTTGAATACTTTTGTGTGTGTTTTGTCAGGTTGCAGGAGTGATTTCGTCTGTCATCGTGCTCGTCACGGTTTTGAAAATAGGTTCCCTTTTTTCAGATCTCCCCAAGGTAACCCTCTTGATCAGAATCTCTCTTTGCAGATCATTTGTAATGCCCTATAAGGCTGTGGGTTCATATCGATATAACTGTATGTGTTTTTGTTCCTTAGGCTGTCTTATCCACAATAGTGTTTGTGAATTTGAAAGGCATGTTTAAGCAATTCCTGGATGTGCCTCTGCTGTGGAAGACCAACAAGGTTGACCTGGTACGACTAAATCCTCTCTAAGAGTCATTTTGCTCAGTTTATCCTTTTTTTAACCGAATAGCCCTTTGACCCCGCTGACTGTCAGTGTTTCTGCTAACCTTTAGATGGTGTGGCTGGTCACATTCACAAGCACCATCCTGCTCAACCTGGATCTGGGTTTGGCTGTCTCTGTTGGCTTTTCCATGCTAACTGTCATCTTCAGGACACAACTGTAACTACACGCTACTTATTATTAATTAATGATGTATATATGTAAACACAATATCAGATTTTGATGACAATTTCACAGAGCTGCAATAACAATGTCATTTTAAAATACCTTTCAGACCCCGTTACTCTATCTTGGGCCACGTGTCAGGCACTGACCTGTATCTGGACACAGATACCTACAAGGAGGTAGTAATGGTTTTGTGACCAATATAAGTCACACAGTATAATAATCATCCACAGAAAAGTAAAAGATCAACCAAATAGGATGTAAACACTTTTTCTCACCAACCTTTTGGTATTCACCCATATAGATAGCTTTACTTTCTTTTAGATTATAAGATATCTGATTCATTATCTACAGAGTTCACTGTCAACAGTTCATACATTTCTTAAGAAAATAGTTATTCTACATTGTTGTTTCATTTTAGCGGAGTTGCCTGAGGGATGCCAACGTCAGTCATTCCAAACATTTAAGTTATCCTAACAAATATCTCAACAATCACCAGAATGATTGGCACACAATTGGGACATACATTGTTTCCAATGATGACCAAAGTATTGGAAGAATTGCAAAACTAAAGACATACTAATCAAGATTAGCTGTACTGTTTGGTTTAGTGCTAATTAGCAAACATAACAAAAAACACACTATAAGAAGGTGGTGCACAAGGTCAACATTACACCTGCTTTACGAGTGTTAGCATGTTGATTTGAGCATTTAGCTGAGGTACAGCCTTACAAAGCTTCTATACCTTTACGTCTTGTTAAAAGGTCATTTTGCCAATGTTTTGTTTTGTAGCCTTTATTTATCCAGGTTACAAATCCCATTGAGATCAACGATCTCTTTTACAAGGGAGACCTGCGGTACATTGAGTTACACATATAAAAACAAACAGAAAACAAAAAGGACATCACAACATAATTTCAGGGGTATACATTAGCATCTATTTACATTTACAGGTATCCAATAATATTTCATCCAGTCGTGCTTTAAAACGATGCAAGGGAATCAAAATGCTGAGTTTCAATATTTTTTGCATAGTGTTCCAAGCTAGAGGAGCAGCGCTCTTGCTGTGAGTACACAAATAAATCCTTTTACAGATTTGATTTTTGGGTACTCTGTTGGCAACAGAAATCTTACCGTCTATGTCTTTATCTGCATTTTAATATACAACTAAATATAAATGTAAAACCTTATTTCCCCCCTGAAATGTGCACATTAAATGGTGGTAGAACTCCATTTAGCCAAACAATAGCTGAGGGAGGTACAAGATGAACGGAAAGCAGAACAGCACTTTAAAACTCTTCTGCTTCATGTTGTGTCCCTACAGGCTAAAGAGATTCCAGGAATTAAAATCTTCCGTTCATCTACAACCATCTACTACACAAATGCTGAGATGTACTTGGAGGCCCTGCAAGAGAAGGTGTGTGTCCATGAATGTGGAAGTGTGTTTGGGTGCAGGCTTGCATTTGAAATCCCTGTCCGCTGCCTACAGCTCCCTTAATTGCATTCATTATCGCTCTCACTTGTCTCACTTTCCCTTTTTCTCTCTTTAATGCAAAGCTTGGCTTTTTGTGCAGAGTGGAATTGAAATCGGAAAGCTGCTGACGGCAAAGAAGAAGCAAGAAAGGAAACTAAAGCGTAAACAAGAGAAAGAGAAAAATAAAGCCAAAAAGGAGGCAAAGAAACAAGTATGATGCTACATTTTTGAGTTTCAAAGATCACATATTTTATATAAAACTGATAAGTCACTAAATGTTATTTCCAATGTTTCTACCTTTTGGCAGAGAAAAGCAGTCAGACGACTCTCCAAGGACACTTTCTCAGAGATGAATGAGAGGAAAGTCTCTGCAGGACTGAAGGAGCAAAGTCAGGGGGATGTTGTAGCCTTAGGCCTGACAGAAACCTCCACAAATGGCCTTAGTATAGGCCAGGTAAACGAGGCTTACCAGCATGACACAACCATGTCCGACTCAGATTCAGAAACAGGTTACCACGGTGATAACAGCATCAACAATGTATCGCAGCGCGGAAATGAGGAAAAGGAAAGGGCTGTCAGGTCAGGCACGCACAGCATTATCTTGGACATCTCGACCACCAGCTTTGTGGACACCGTCTCTGTGAAGACCTTGAAAAATGTGTGTGTTAATTTCATTTAACCATCATATGTTTAACTAAGTGAATACATGAGGGAAGGGGGAGGCCATTCTTATATGCATTGTTAAAATAATGAATGTCCCACAAAATTACATAAAGTGATACCTGTCTTTTCTTAACCAGATTTTCAGGGACTTTGGAGAGATTGATTTGGACGTCTATCTAGCAGGCTGCCAAGGTGAGCAAACTAGACACAACAAGACAAACCTAATGTCCTAGAGTCAAGGCAATGGAGCTTAGATAATGAATGTGTCAAGGTCTCGGCTTTAGTGGTGTCACATCAGTCAGACATAAATATTTATTTCTATGATCAAATGCTTTACGTCTAATGCGTTCAGACCTCATTGTCATGCATGCCTCTGTGTGGTCAAATATCAGCATGTGTCGTGGAGCAGCTGGAGGCGGCAGGCTTCTTCTCAGAGTCCATCCCAAAGAGCCGGCTGTTTGTCACAGTTCATGATGCAGTGCTTCACATTCTCAAGAAACTGGGCGACACAGACTTCGTCCTTGTGAGTTCATCACTTTCAAAATGACTTCACGTGTCTTTGCTGTGATATATTTTGAAATGTTCTCACCCCTAGCCCTAAATGTTGATGTTTTTTCAGGATGTGTCGTGCAGCACTCAGATGTAACCATCAGGGGTCAGACCGCTCCAGCTCTCTCCATCCTCCTCCTCTTCTTAGGCTGCTGCACGTATCATTGCTCACTATTGGTCGTCATTGTCTCCTCCTCCTTCAGTGGGGGAGAATGCACCACCTTGACATGGCGGCTGGTTGCCATGGCAATACAGGGAGCCGTTGCTGTGGCAACAGGCTTTTTATGATATTGTCTAATGAGATAGCCGGCAATACGTCATTGCAGCTCTCCCGCTCCGTGGCGTGTGTGAGGGACAGAGAAGGGGCGGGGGTTGAGTGGGAGAATGTAACAGTGGACGAATAGGAGACTGTATTTATAGCCTGTGTGAGAGAGTGAGTGAAAGGTTGACTGTAAGGGGAAACTCACATGTGAGAGGTGTTGTTGTGAAAAACGGGCCACGATGCGTGAGCATGTCTGTCTATCAATTTATATTGTTGAACCAACAATATATTCCAGAAAACATTAATAAAATGTGAATATCCAGCAGAGATATGGCCGGGCCATTGCCTCAGAAACGCTTTATCAATCCTTTAATTACAATTCAAAACATTGAAGAATGAACTGAATAGCAGTTAAGGTGTAATAGGCATTTCAGTAGTAGGCGTAGCAGCTTTTAAACACAATGTGGGTGTACTTAGAGTTAGTATTCACAAGTCTGAATCCGCTTACATCTTTTCTATTTTTGGGATCCAGTGTCAATTATTGACATAAATAATTGGAAATAATTATTTGAATAGCCCACCAAAATATATTTGCTCAAGGCCATGTTTTTGTGTTTGGAAGGTCTGGAAAAAGGTGGAATTTAAAATAAATACATTTGATAATCACATTTACTCATGTGTTTATTATGTCTCAATTTGTGGGATGTGGGATGGGACTAATCAATGATCAACCAGCAGAAAACACAGAAATGTGTGTCAGGGATCCTTAAATATTGGTTCCTTGGATGAACCACTCCAATGCAAACAATGTCGAGTGTCGTAAACTACAGAACACTCTCCTTAAGAGTGCTTACTGTTCACCTTTGTTCTACCTGACACGTCAAGTTATCTGTGAAATGTTTGACTAGTTTTTATACCGGTGTAACATATTAAATGTGATTTAACCAGAATAGTTTTGGTACATTTCTAGAGTTAGACAAAGTATGAATGAGACTGTAAATAAAACACTGAAAAAACACATTACATCCGTCTTTATCTGGTCATTTATTGCTCCCTTCCTCACATCAAGGCTCTTTCCCCTCCCCACAACACATTCTCCTGCTCTCTGCACAATTCAGGTTTAAGTTTATCTCCTTCTCTTAAGGTGGAATTACTGATAATCATCCCCTCGAAATATTGTTAACACTGATTCACAGACCCTACAATACACTGGATACTTAAGTTAGCTCATAACACATAGCTGGAAGTGGTGATGGTCTCTTTTTGATAACTATAATTTTCTTTTCTTTTTTTACAAATGGAAGCTGTTCTTTAACAGTTACTTGAGGGAAATAAAGTTGGCAGCAAACTTTGGCCAAAGACAATGTCCAATGTAAATCAAGACACGCCTGCCACGGTCCAACACACGCCCGAACACACCGAACACACACACACATACAGACCATGGCATATCAGCAGTAGATCTTTCGATTAGAATGTTTTTAAAGTATTGTTAGGTCTCTGCTCATCACAAAATGGCATGACACGGGGACGGATGACAGACAGGGACAGAAAGGGAAGATATCGCAGCTACACTGGACACATCACACTTACAGAACAAGACGAGACGGGACAGCACAGAGGCGGGAGCAGAAAGAGCGGGGAGAGTCAGCGAGGTAGAGTCAGAAAGCAGAGCAGGGCGTGTTTCAGTGGTGATGACTGTATGGGTGTGGGTGTGTTTCGGTTCTTCTCCCATCTAATCTTTGGTCGATTTGTCCAGGGCTTCTCCATTCAGGTTTCAAACTGTGGAGGATGTGTAACCAATCTGCACTTTGCTCTTACCAGGCCTGTGTGGTGTGCATGTATTTTGTGTAGATGGTGTGTGCTGACGTCAAGGGCGACCATGGCTCTGTGTTCAGCGGGACTCAGCTCATCAGATGACACTTTCAAAGAGAAGCGTGCTCTTTGTTCCTGCAGGGGGCAGCAGTTTGGCCCCGCTCTCTGGGGCCATGTACTCCATGTGATGTCGGCCCCAAACGGGTGTAGTTAGGTGCTTCCAGCGCTACGTGGAGAAAGACAAGAGCATACAGACAGTGAGCTGTTTATGGGACAGATGCTTCCGCCTTCTCTAATGAGCAATGATGAAATCAACAGAGCAAATAACAGACAGGTGAGCATGGGCGGTACCCAAGGAGACATTTCTGTTAATTACAAACAGTAATGCATGCACAAGAGAATGTGTGAGTGTACACGCCTGCACCCAGGCATACTGACCTCCCGAAAAGATCCTTTGCAGCGCAGTAGTTTGTAGAGAACGGTGACCGGGATACAGAGCATTGAGGAAAGGGCCAATATCCAGCCAAGCACTTCGCCCCACAGGGGGTAGGTGTACACTGTGTTGTAGGTAAGGGGTTTGTAGTTCACCACATGGAAAATGAACACTGACTGTAATAAAAAAAGGCAGAAATATCATTGGTTTGCAACAGGCAAGGTACAATTTGTATAAAAACAAACAGAGAAGCACTTACCACACAGACTAAAGGTGTGATGTAGGACCAGCACCACTTCATGTAGGGGAGGGGCTGATAGCCGATCATACGAGCCACGTCATCCATGAAACGGTCCGCGCCTGACAGAAATGACATCAGGATGTTGTGATAGTTTGTTGGTTTGAGCGGTTTGCGTTCTTGTATTGTAATTGTGTGGCACTATCTCACCATAGACCCAAGCAATCACCACACACTCCCAGAAGGCCTGCCACAGCAGAGTGATGCCACTGGCAGAGTAGTAGTCAAACAGCTGGAAGACATACATCCCTCCCTGCCAGAAACAAAGAGAGCAGTCAAGGCCATCTTGTTAATACTTTATGACCTATTTCTAGCCTCGTCTCCGCTGTTTAGGCTTTCATCCAAGTTCATTCCTGGCAATGGCTCCTGTGCCGAGCATTAGTTTTTTTACAGAAAAATTTAAATAATCTTTTAGTACAGTAGCAAAAATAATCTCAAGATTAGGTAAGAGACTGGACTTTCATTTAGTTTCTACATTGGATTGTATTTTGCCTAGAAGGATGTTGTGTTATAATAATCTGATATGTATATTAATATGACAAACTCAAAATGACAACCTGCCTAATGCTAAAGAATGAAATATCTAAGGTCAAGAAGTCAAGGAAATCCCAACCGTACCTCAGTGACCATGGATATGTCGATCAAGAAGCAGATGACGCAGCAGATGGCCGCTACCACCTCTCGCCGCAGGGAGCCCATGGCAGATTTAGGCGGTAGCATGTCCATAATTCCCGTGATCAAACCCTCTACCCCTACAAACTGAAACAGAGTATAGAGAGGGCAGAGAGAACAAGACAGGGACATTTTGAGTGAGAGAAGGAGAGACACAAAGATAAAAAAGGGAAGTTAGTCGGGGATGTGAACATAATCTTAGTGTGTTCTTTAGGTGATATTTAGGTGACACCCCTCCTCAGTCCCCTTATGCACAAATCGCTTACTTGTATCTTTGCTGAAACATATTTTCAAACCCTTAGAATTAAGACGTAAGACGGCCACTTGGCTATTGTTTTACATCATTTACTTGAAACAACAGCATATGCATGGCTAACGTGGCTATGGCAGGAAAGGGAGAGCGGTGGATGGAATGGAAAGAGAGAATGGAAACTAGGAGTAAATGAATGGATGGATGGGAGAGTAGACAGACGCTCTCTGTGTGAATCATACAGAAGCTCATTGACAAATCCCTGGGCTGTAAAACAATGGATGTAGGCACACAAACAGGCTGCTAAGAAATGCAATGCTCAAACTGGACGTGATGGGTCTAGACTGCTTGTGTCGCACTTGTAAGAGTCAGTGAGGGAAAGTGAAAGAAATGTACATTAGCTATCTATTCTTCCTAATGCGCGAGGGATTTAAAAAGACAGCAAAATAAAGAATCACTTACAGTTCCTCTAAGCCAAGGGGTTATCCCAACCCTTTTAAAGTGTATGTGAACAATCAGAAATCGTTATTACCTGGCTGTCCAAGCCCAGTACTAGCAACATAAAGAAGAAAAGTGCCGCCCAAACTGGCGCCAGAGGCATTAGAGTGACAGCCTTGGGGTAGGCTATAAACGCCAGGCCTGGACCTGCACATTAACAGAGAGAGTCAGAAGCATAAGGTGTCAAGGGCATTATAGCTCAAACTGTCAATACTCAGCTCATTGAATTGTGTTATTAGGCAGCAAAATCACAGGGAAACTGTATTCTTACCACTCTCAGCTACTTTACTGATGTCCACTCCTTGCTCTGCGGCCATGAAGCCCAGCACAGAAAACACCACAAAGCCAGCAAAGAAACTCGTACCACTGTTTATCATGGCCAGCAAGAAGGCATCCCTACAGAGAAATATGGAGAGTACGAAAGATAAAGGAAGACGGGAAACAGAACAGAGAGACAGACATTGTGAGCAAAGAATTATAATATGCTGTAACCAGAGACTCGCATAACATACTCAAGACAAATATTGGCAACAGATGAGATGGGCTGAGAGGATCAATAGCAATTCCTCTAAAAGCTACTGTTGTCTTTGTGGAAGGAAGGTAGAGAGCAGACAGCAAAGAGGTCAATGAGTCCGTCAAGTCTGTCTCTAAAGGGGGGAGAGAGTACATGGAAACCCCTTTGCACTTCTTGCTAAATATGTCTAACATCATGATAATGCATGCATGTATAATTCAATTATGTTGGAGATGTAATTCTACGAAGTGAACAGCATCCCTCTTATCCGGTGTACATAGCGAGGAATGACCTTCTGTTTATCCTGACAAGTGACGTTTAGCTAGCAACACCGGCCAACAATCCTTTCTGATATGAAGAATGTATAAACAACAGTTGCACCACGATGGTTATTATGACGCTGTAGCAGCTGTGTGGGGGAACAACCTCCACTCAGTCTACGCTCAATACAGCCTCTCAATCTGAAACAGTGCCCCAATGTGAATAATCAAAACAAGGGAGAGTGAGTGTTTGTGTTCAAAAAGCAGTCTATAAGCACAACAATTAAACAAGATTAAAGTCAATAGCCCCACTAGGAGCCCTATGAGGCGTCAAGGCTCATTACACACCAGGAACACAAGTTGGAGTTAAAGCCTTTAATCAAACGTTGCAAAGGTATGTGAATAGAGGGTTTCCAAAACTATTTGACAATCCGCCAAGCAATTCTGAAGCAGCACACTTTAAGCCCTTTAAGGTCACTTCTACTTTGATCTGAATGCTCCATGTAGAGGTACTATTTCATTAGTGTACAGGGTACTTTGTGTATTGTGCACATATTACCAACTGTGTCAACAACTATTGGATGCTTCTGATGTTTTTATTTTTGTTGTTTTTGCCTGTCCTTGTTTGTCTACTCTCTCTCATACTGTAAAGCGTTTTTGAGTTCCAGAAAAGCGCTATATAAATATAATTTATTATTATTATTATGTGATGTTTTGCATGTTATGTATGTATGCAACATGAATATTTCAAGTTAAGCATGTAACACCAAGAAAAACATTGTCTCATAGTTTAGCATGCTTCACTAACATTAGTCATGTTAAGACTGCTAATGTATCAATATTAATGTCAATCTATCCAGTGCTTCAAGATATTTCACCCTGAACCAAAGTCTTGGACTAGCAGATTGATATTATTACCCCGGCATCCAAATTGGTAGCATGGCTAAAAATACCCGCATGTAATCAAGCTATGTGGTTTTAAAGCAAGTGAACAAGTCAAAAAATGTTGTACTGAAACCAAGTAAATGTACTTTATATACACATCTCACCAGCTATTCCTGGGCTACTCCATGTGTCTGTGAGAAACTGAGCTGAGCAAACATACCTCAGAATCTGAACTCATCTTTTGACTTCCAATTAAGGTCAGGGTTGAGCAAAATGTGAGATGGTAGGATATTCATGAGGCTCCTCCTATTATGGGCATTCCACATAAGCAAGCAAGTGCTGATCTACAGAAAAAATCCCTAATACTGCTACGGGGCTCAAGACCTCCTAACAGCCATGATATGTTTACATATCTGAGCTTGTTCCACATTCAAAGCATCTTTACATCCCCCGCACACGTCTCCGGACAATGGGAGACCGAGCCTTCTGCTCATTCGCCCCGCGCCTCTGGAACTCCCTCCCAGATCAGCTGAGATCTGCCCCTTCCACCGAGGTCTTCAAAACCGGCCTTAAGACCCTCTTCTTTCGGCAGGCCTTCCAATAAACTTTGAGCATGGTACACCTGGAGTACTGCCATTTTTATCGCTATCTCCGACTTTTATTTGATTTATTATTATTTATTTTTTTAATCTCTCAAATGTTATCAGTGTCCTTTGTTGTGAAGCGCTTCGAGATTTGTCTTGGCAGATGAGAAGCGCTATATAAATTAAATGTATTATTATTATTATTATAATAAAGACACTGCTATTATTCTTCCTGGCTGTGTAATCACTTCTATTTTGAAGTACTCTACATCTGAAATGTTATTAATGTGCTATGGAGTCTTTGGGCCTTTTATCTTCATTCCTGGCACACCCATACAGAGCAGGGTATTCAAGGCTAATGGTTGTTCTCAGTAGCCATTTATTTTTAGGAGAAAAGGAACCAATGTTTTTATGTGATTGTAAGTAAAGATAGACAGAAGAATGTCTGTTATGAAAGAAATGTAGTGCACATTAAGACTTTTTCTGCTTCGTTTGATACTACTCTACAGTGGGACGGCAGGACACTGTCTGATGCTGATGTCGGGCCTCCTTCCAGTGACATGCGCGTCTGATTTTATGTGGTGTATAAACTCACTGGTAACAGTTGTTATGGAAGCGATTGTAGCTGCCCAGCGCAGTCAGGGCACCCAGGCCGATGGCATAGGAGAAGAAAATCTGAGTGCCTGCATCAATCCACACCTGTGGACAAAATAACCAGAATACTTCACAGTCTGTTTACTATATTTCTTAGATGTTAACATACTGCTCCAGACAATTGTATAGGAAAGCTAAAATACAAGTGTACAAAGAGGGGTATACCTGGGCTTCTCCAAGTTTGGACCAGTCTGGTTTAAGGTAGTAAACAATCCCATCTAAAGCTCCAGGTAGAGTGACTCCGTGGGCCAAAAGTACGACCAGAACCAGGTAGGGGAACAGAGCTGTGAAGTAAACAACCTAGAGGAGATGGAAAAAGAGAGCTGTGAAGTACACTTCTAGATACTGTAGGACCAATGTGTAAAGTTTACTTGGGATTGGGGAGGTGAAGTTTGAGTGCTATGCATTAAAACTTGAATTAAGTGAAAGTAGAAACTCCACAGTTAACCAATAAAACATTTAAACCCCTCACATTACAAGCAAGTACATAGCAAGATGCAGTTAAATGGTGAATTTAACAGGCTATTTGGAAAAGTTTAGTGCTTATCAACATGGTTCATCAGCTATGGTCAAATGTTTCAATGTAACTGCACCTAAGTATGTTTTATCACTTTGATTAAGCAATTACCTGCTTTGCAAATACTCAAGTCTTAAGTAGAAGCCCATTAGGTCCTTCCTGTAGATGTGTAATGGGCCCTGTCATGTTACTTTGAAGAAAAGGTAGCCTGTAAATGGAAAGCCAGACAATTTGTAAACCTCCTGCAATAGCAGGGGTTTTTGGCAGACCTTTCCAGAAGATATTCTTTGTCAAAATATGCTGAGAAAGCCGCCCCCTGATACCTAATAGAAGCATTAAATCCCAGCTAAATCAGTATGGTAGGAGCAAAGTAGTGAGAAAGCACATATTTGCCTTGATCTACGGTGAACATGCGCAGAAAAGCCCCTTTCCAGTTCTCAAACATCTACATAGAAAGTTACTAATCGGCTTACAGCTGGCTGGCTCAATCGCCTTCATTATTTTTTCCCTCGTTCTATGAGCTTTGGCTACTCTAGAGACACAAGTATGCAAACACAGACGTCTCCATATGCTCCTAAATAAAGATGCATTCATTATCACAATGTTTCAGAGCACACATGTAAAAAAGTACGAGATAATCTCTTTTATACTACTATCATTTTAAACATTATGTAGAATAAGACAATAAGATTATAGCCTGACCTAAATATCACACTGGATATTGCATAACACCAAACTGAAAAAAAGCTACAACACAAATTAGCAACCTTCAAGAATGCACATGTGCTAATGTTATACTGTTGTTGGGCCTTTCAGTCTAGACACTGATCCTCTCACTATACCAAAGCTGATTTGTGGCCAAAGGGCAAAATGCTGCAGTTATTTAAACCTTGACATAAAGCCCTTGCAAATATAATTCTGCACTCAATAACCCCTTAAAGTGGCAAGTAATGTTTCATATACAGTAAACGTATTAAGCAATGAATACTAATCTGCACTCCATAAAGCCTTACAGTGACATGTCATATAATTGTACAGCCAGAAAACACTTTACCTTGCCAGTAGATTTAACTCCTTTCCACATGCAGAAGTAAACAATGATCCAGGTGACTATGAGACAAAGCACCAATTCATAGCTGATGTCACCAGGCTCGTCCAGCCCACCAGAAAGACGGAGCACTTTACGTCTAAGAAAAAGAAAATAAAGATATAAAAAAGGGTGACAGCAAGTTAAATTACGTATCGTCCTATTAGGATTTTATAAATGCCAGATAGATGCCAGAACAATTTTGTAACTGACTTGAAAGCATCAGATGAGCAGAATACAAATCTGGAAGCTGGGTGCGAACCACATGAACACATTGCTAACACCCCTCAAATTAAATTTGGCAGTAGATGAGTGTATTCCAATCTTAATGGCTTCGAGTCAAGACTGCATACTTGCTGCTCAACCCCATGAAAATTCCCAGACAAGGTATAACATACTCCCAGAACTCGATGACTGGCGAGCGCATGCCCTCAGTATCCGTGCAGTTTCCACTGAGGAGGAGCTGGGCTGTGGACAGGTTCAACAGGGGGGTGGAGGAGAGGAGGTTGGCAGAAGATGAGGACAGAGCCTGCTGCGCGACACTGCGGTTGTAGCAGGAGCGGCGAAAGTCCTGTGTACAGTTGGGGGTGTTCCAGGGGTGTCCACAAGTGGCCCAGGGCAGCTCGTTGGTGAAGGAGTGGAAGAGAAAGTAGAGGCCCCACACGAGAATCATGATGTAGTAGGTGTTACAGAAGAACACGATCACCATCGAGGCCAAGCCCAAACCTGACAGTGAGAGAGAGAGAGAGGAAGGTTTGTTAGGAGGTTGTGATGAATCAGAGGAAATTAAATGTGTTTTTGGTGCGTCAGACATGCTAACATACACAGGTACCTTTGAAGAGGGGTGCGATGTTCCAGGCAGAGACCCCTCCCTGCTTCATGAATTGTCCCAGTGCTATCTCCAGGAAGAAGACTGGGATCCCTCCGATGAACACTATCAGCAAGTAAGGGATCAGGAAAACCCCTGCAACACACAAAACACATATTTATTACATAGGATCAAATAATAGACACTTTACCGTATGACCTATCTGTGTTTATGTCCACTACAAACAGCAATTGTTGACTGAGGGTTAAATGGCTCGGTTTATCTGACAGTTAATTGTCATGTACTACAAGCGATGCATTTAGTAAACAAGTGTTTTTGGGTGATTGATCTTGTTAAATCACTCCCTTTAGATTTGATGTTGATGTTAATTAAATATGTCTGACATTAGATTCAAATGTGTTGTTGTACATATTTAAAACGTGTGAAATGAAAAGGCAGAAAGGCAGACACAGAGAGAATCATTATGAGAAAGAGGTTTGTTAATGTAAATAAAGAAGTAGTAGTAATGACATTTCATTAACATTACTTTAAGTTTTCATATTAAAATCAATACTGAGTTTTGTATTGTTTAACTATAAGAACCAGGCTCATTAAGTATGTCCAGCTCTGGAAGAAAAATATACTAGCAGAGCTTTAACAGCCAGAAATCTGAGGTAAAATCAGGTTTAACGTTTTTAAGGACACAAGCTGCACAAACATCGGCACGGCTCTAACAAACCAAGCACTCGACACAACAAGGAACAGTTGAGAGCAGGAGGAAGCAATAAATGAAAAAGTGCAAAAGTCAGAGAGGAGGACAGACAAGGCCACAGATAAGAGATACATTGGACGTGTATAAGCCAGATAATCTATTCCACAGAAATGTTTGGTACGTGCTGCCCTTGAACTTGAAAGATGCATGGAGAGCAGGCAGATCAAGTACTATCAAATGGACATGGGGAAATGAAAATAGACTCCAGCTCGGGTTATTAGCCCTGATTGAGGCATCTAGAACTTCATTTCGATTAGAAGCAGATTGCCAAGGGCAAGGGGTTCGTACTCAGTGTTTTCTATAAATAATCTCATTTTGAATTCTCATTCTGTAGCAGAAGCTTGCTCTGATCAGGAAGACACAGCAGAAGAAAATATAGGAAAAAGGGCGGCATAAGACATTTCATTCACGAAATCCAATCACAATAATTTGGTCTGAATAGTAATATACTCTGGGTGATGCCACAACAGTGCGCAGATGGGAGGGAGTCACATGACCAGCTATGACGCAGAGCAGAAAGAGGCTAGGAAGAATGGAGGGAAAGATATATACATCACAAGACAGGGAGAAAAGCTGAAACAACGCTGTGTTAGCAACAAATACAAAAATGATACACCAAGGCATCCCCCTGGTTGGCAACAACAGTGCTATTGATTGACTATTTGAGCCTCATTCCGTCCATCATTTTCTTGATGTCATTCTCTGAGAGCAGAGGGCTGCAGCCATATAAGGAAACATTCATGAGTGTGTGAGGAGCAAAGGGGTGGGAGAGTGAGAGAGAGAAAAAGAGATCCAATAGGAGGCGAGAACGAAATGACTGGGGAAAAAAGCTTGTGCTGACATACCCCAATATATCGGCCCAAATCACAGAGGAACTGCAACCTTAATAGGCTTAAGTAAATCACCTCTAATCATAAATGGAGCCGACACATCAGGCCTAACAACTTAGTTAGAAATAAATTAGATTAATTCCACGCATTTACAGTACATTCAACTATTACTTTCTCCAATAGACGGTGTCCTTGTTTCAGTAACAAGTAGGTCGGGCTAAGACACCTGGCGCTTATCTCATATTGTTGATGTGTTAGGTGTACCGCAGGCATAAATGTAGCGCTGAAGCGGATAAAGCGGGTGCTGACACTAAGAGGGGAGGAAAGGACGTGCACGGTCACAGGACGGTTATTGTGTGACACATCCATTAGCCTCCTTATCAGAATAAGAGTGGGAGAGAGCACCTTTGTATGCAATATGAGTGCTGGGCAGGAGCACAGGGGGTGGACTGTGTGAGGCAGGCCATTGTTATACGATACCAGAAGGTGGGTATCAGAGCAACGGGTCACAAGACTAACTCACATTAGAGAGAGGGAGGGCTGGATTAACACACTAACACAGCAGCACATTGGTTTTGATTTCAACAAATCACGTTGTAAAAAAGTAGGAAAGTGGGCAGGGCCGGCAGAGATAAGAGAATTCAAGGCTAATATCTGCAGTCAGTGCAGGTTACTTTTGGACAAGCTGGCATAAATGAAAAAGGAGAGGGTGTGGGGAAAGGTATATAACAGCACATCTAACATGTATGCCAGAGAGAGAGCGGCAGGAACACTGTAGAGAAACTTGTACTAAGTACGCTGTTAAGCAAATGTAAAGCATAAAGTGAAACCACGTGGGTAGGCAGGGCTCTGCAGCTACGTGCTCAACTACACGCAGACCTGGCCTCCACTGCCTCTTACCTTTATTTCACTTTCACTTGAGCTAGTGAAAGTCTTCTGTGTTCAACAGTATTTGAGTTGATCAAAACTGTTTCAAACTGACTAGCAACATATCAAAATTATTCTTCAAATAGGGAAGCTTATTTTAAATGCTTGACATTTTAATTTATTATATTATTATTGCTAGAAAAATGTAGTTCTAAACTTGATCCCTTTTTAGCAGGTTTTTGATTATATTTCAAGAGTACTGAAGGAATCTGGATGACACTGCATTTAAAACTAGAAGACAAGTTCAGCACTCAGTTTCAGACCCTCTCTTTGTGGATAGTGGAATTCAACACCAAGAGACCCTGTTGAGAAGACCATAGGAAAAGGAGATTTGCTAGCTTAAAAAATAAAATGCCTCCTCCAGGTGATCCTCAGTGGTGTTTGCTTAGCCCTCTTTTGTTCACCCTAAAGGTTATGAACCTTGCAGAGTGGTAAGATGTATGAATATTTTGAATGACAAGTTCAAAAGAACTGCTATACAAGAAAAGCTCACAATTTAATATGAAGTACTCCATGACCTTTTTCTTGCACATTAGCATTTTAAACCCCTCAGTAGTTTTAGAATGAATCATTCATAATTACATAAATTGGCCTAAGACATTTGAAAGGGATAGTCCTTAGGTGATCATGAGCAGATTTTCAGAACATTTGCTGGAAGGGTAAATAAGGGATAACAAAAAAATCAAGAAAACATCAAACTTTGGAGCGGATCCAGATCATGGGATGGATACTGTAATTATGTTACACTTTTGTACACATTGCGAGGTTGGGCATTTGCTCCAAGCCAGAAAGTACAAAACGTATTTTCTTTGGCATCCATGTTGTTACCATAGTACGACCTACAGCTCATAGACTGACCTCTCAACACGTGAATGCACCATTGAACTTGGCAGAGGTGTGCTGAGAATCTCTCTGATAGCCATTCTAGTGTTCATGTGTGTGTGTGCATAAAGCAGATGCCTGTATTAAATACACTGTGCTCTTGAAGCTTACCTCCTCCGTTCTTGTAGCAGAGGTAAGGGAACCGCCACACGTTGCCCAAGCCGACGGCAAAACCCACGCAGGACATGATGAAGTCCATCTGTCTGGTCCATGTTTCTCTCTCCGGAAATGGTACTGCTACAGCCCCATTTCCAGTCCCAGACCCATCCTGCGTATGCAATGGGCCAGCTCCTCCGCCCTCACCACACCCTGGGTCAGCTCCGGACACAGACACCAGGGGGCGAGCTGACCCCCCGCCCTCCTCCTCGGAGAGGGTCCCTGCCTCCAATTGGGGGAGACTTATTTCACCTGGACAGAAAAAAATATATACAATGGTCAGATAAAAAAGATTGCCAATAGAAGGACAGCAATGAAGGAGAATAACTTATAAACAGATACAGAATTCAGTATGACTGAGTGTTAAATATACACATTCATAAATTCACATCACATGCCAGATCAACCAGTCTCCTATGCTAGACTTGCACTGAATGGAAGAGTGAGACTGCACGTTTTTCATTCATTGTAATAAAGCTGCACTACAACTGAGTGTACAACCTTCATTAGGATCTAATGTATCATGTATTTTGTTAACTGCCTCCACACAATTAGTATTTGGGCTAAAATCGTGTTGCACTGACGTGTATTGTCATCATTGAGCCTTCCCCTGATGTGCATGTCTTACAGAGTGATTGGTGTGCTGCAGTACAACACAGCAGAGCCGGTTCAAGGTAGATTTTAAGATCCTCTGTCACTGTTATTGTATCTATTCCACATGCGCACTCTCAACACAAACAAAAGCAATGTGTCGCTTCATTAGTGCCATTCTGAACATCATCATCAGCTGCTCTGTGCTGGATGCAAAGCAAGGCAGCTGAATCCAGATCAGAGCAGTTTGAGGGGGTGTATGAACAGAGGAGGGGAAAAGAGTGGGGAAGGTAAGAGACGTCAGCATTTATAGAGCAACTTCATAAGAGGATACCTGTGGTTTAACATCACTTGTGTGAGGTATACCTCCACACAGTATGTCCTTATTTAAATCAAAACAAATGCCTAGTTACGGTTAAAAATACACATTTTGTTCTTGGACATTTATAAGTTTATGTAAAGATGATAAACCCTAAATAAATACTCACTTCTCCTTGGAAGCAGACTGCTTTGTGTACTTGGGTCACCTCATTTTACTAAATGAAGATGCTCTCATGATACTGATGTAAAACGTGTTGATGGTTAGTTTGAAGAATAACAATCTTCTGCTTCACCATGACTGACACCTGTTCAACACCATATTTAGCTTTGAAAGGACTTCTGTGCAGTTGAGTCAGCTGTGGTGGAAAGTTTATTTTAAGATGAAGTGTATGTGTGTTGTGATGAATCCAGACAGAGGCAGGTTAGGCGCAGTTTGGTGTGTGGGTCTGCTCTCATCCACTAAACAGCAACTGAAGCAAGCATGCTCCAATTCATGAGCATGTGGTGATGTTCTAGCTAGTGGTTGAATCATACGGCAAATAATCAGTCATTATTAGGCAGTGGAGGTCACACATCATACTCACCTTGGCTGTTCTCCTCTAACTCTGGTGACATGTTATTCGGTATCGACACAAAAATAGATCTCTTCTTCTTTTTAAGCTGATGTTAGAGCCAGGGGCTGGTGAAGTTTGATAAATGCGCCTGGCTAACAGGGACCCCGTTGGTGTCACAGAGGCACAGGGAGATGCAGCCTTGGTACGCAGTGCCCTGGTTGTCTTTTTGATTTACTGAGTTTGTTATTTCACCTTATTGAACATCAAAAATCGCAGTTTTTGTGATTAACACAGGTTAGGACCCCTCAGCTGAGAGATGGACAATTTCACTAGGCGCCGCGGTCAGTTCAGCCGTTGACAAAGGAGATTCAAAAGCAGTCGACGAAGCACTTGAAGGTAAGCCTGAAGAATCTCATGGATAACGGTTAAATGAAAATGATACCGGGCCTTGAGTTGACGCTTTCTTGGATTGAACAGTCCAGTCAGATGTCCATGAACCTGTTCATGATGCGGCTGTTTCGACGGAGGAAGAATGCGATCTGTTCCCCGGTCAGTTAGCTGTGACGGACGCTCCCCCCCGCCCCCCGCGCCGCCGGCTGACGTGATTGGCTGAAGCCAGCAGAGTGCGGTGCGCACAGCATCAGCAGCAGCACTCCGTCAGAATGAGAGGAGTCACAAGGATGGGTTTATTACACTGCATACGTCCTTGACCTGAAATCACACAAATAACTGCACATACATGCCCCTTACAAGCGCTGTCTGGAGTGGTTTTGCACTGCTTATTTTCTCCATATCTCGTGACGGCGTCGCAAGGATGTTTTGCAACTTGGGGTAGGAGCCCAAGGTGCAACCAGGGGTTCAAGATGGACCGCAAACACATAAACTGTAACTTTAGCAAACATGTTATAGGCTTATTTTCTTTACCTCCCATCACGTAGTTAACAGTTAGCCGATTAATCCTTAAAGAGCTCTCCTGGAACTATGTAGCTATAATCTTCACTTAACTGAGCGGGACTACACTCTTAAGTGTAAGGGGGACCCTTTTGCATTAACCTTCTAAATGTAAATCTAAAGAGACACATACCAATAACATATACGAACCAAAAATGCCATACAGAGACACAAAACAACCACAAAGACATGCAAAGCAAATACAAAGAGAAGCTAGCAACTTAAAAAAAAAAAAAAAGGCGAAACAATGGAGAAACACAATTACCACAAAAAGGAGACAAAGAAACACAAAATTACTACAAAGAGGAAAAAAAGACTAAATATCTACAAAAAAGGGGATAACTAAGAGACTCAACACCACAAAGTTGGTGTTCTGCTACAACTGTATAAGAAAGGAAAGAGAGTGTGGCCTTTTGGATAGTGACCTCAGATTCCTCCCATATCCAAAAACCTTCCCAGTAATGACGGTTGCCTTAATCAAGCCCACTAGGACTGTTGGTGAGGGGAGTAATAACTTACAAGAGATTTTTCTTTTGGCTTAAAGTGAGTCTTATGTTCTGGTGCCATCACTGGCACATTAAATATGAACATATTTGTGGATTACTCACTAATTATAAGTGACAGGAGGACACAACTAATGATGAGCCACCAATATGTCAATCCCCCATAAGCTTCCAGATGGAGCAGACCAATAGGAACTGTGCCTACAGTATGCTAGTGCAGCACTTGTCAATTATAACACACCATTTTTGCTAACTCATATTCACTCACTGAAATTGCAGTGCTGTATTTGGCATTGGGCGGCATCTAGTGGTCAATGTCTATATAAACAGTTTTAAAGAAATGATGATCACACTCACAGCACCACTAATAAAACATTGCTTTATATGTTTGATAATGTAGAACAAATACAGTCAAATACAGTCAAAGACTCAGTGCAACATCAAGCTGTAATAAATATGCATTCTTTAACTTAAACCACCAAATGGCGTTAATAAATAAAACTCAAATAAATAATCACAAATAAATAAATATTTTTGAGTTATGTGGATAAGAAAAACAATAGTCTGAATATGAAAGACCTTACGTTTAAATTACACTGGAAAGACTTGCCTCCCACAGCCAGTGTGACAAGCAATGTCCAGTCAAAAACAGTCATTTGCAGTCTATGTGGCAAACTCTCATAAATAACATTTCATGATAGAAGATCATTTACTCTGGAAACTGAAGAACAGAACAGACGTAAATTATCTCACAAAGATTTCCCTCAGGAACACATTCACAGATAAATATTGTGATATGGCTTTTAACAATAGGCTTCCATTCGTTAATAGTAAATCAAACTGACCTGCAACAGGGGCAGTTTGCCTAGTAAACCTAAAAGGAAGGCAGGTAATCAGGCTTATCTCTTAGACATGAATGATACCATGTCACGGTACCCATATATACGTTATTGTGAATTAGTGATATTTTATTTAAGGCGCAATCTTAGAGAGGATGGCAGTACATTTAAAAAAAAATAAGAAGTGTTGTCCCTTTTGAATTTTAAATGAATTGTGCAAAACAGTCTTTTCTGCATACCACAATTCTGTATCAAATCTATATTGTATATATATAAATTCACCAAACTTAATAATGTCATGGAATTTGCTTATGTGTAAGGTGATGTGGATATTCAAGTGGTGGGTTGAGAGACATGATCTAAAGCAAGACAGATTCACTGGAAGGAGAAGATATCTGGGATGCTATTTTGTGCAATTTCCATTTTGACTACAGCATCTGACATTATAAAAAGATCTGTCAGGCCTCACTGGCTTCAAAGATGCAAAACCGACTCCATTTTAAAATTATTGTTGCTTTGTTTGGTCATTAAAAGGCCAGGCTATAGATCCTGGTGGAGGTCACTGTGTGAGAGAGGTTGGTAATGCTCCTCCATGCCTGACTTAGCTCGTTGTCTTTTAGCAACTAGTCTCTGGTAACGGGCCTGCTGCTGGTGATCTGGGTCCACATTTACCCAGCTGTTGGCCGTCCACTTCACACCACGCCTGACTGGGCATTCGCCATGCAGGGAATACTCATCCAGCTCACCCATCCAACCTAGAGAAGACAGGGGAGAAGATCCCCACATTTAAACAATGGGTGATTTAAGGACAAGAGGACTTTATTAGCTAAAGTGCTTTAATAAGTCAGATTGTTGAAATTGGTTATCCCTTGTAATAGGAGTCACCCAGTCTTGTGCAACCCGATTAAATTAGGTGACATACAGACATATATAAGCACTATTGGATAGTTAATATTATAATAATGAGGACAGAATACATGGAAAAAGAGGTGGAAGAAAAAAGTAAAAACATAACCTTCAGTCCATCAATGGCCGATTTTTCTTTGTAAATTCTGAAACAGATCCTTCTTCCCCTAGGATTTTTTTGTAATTGGTTTCGATAATTGATGTTGGTGATACATTTAGGTATTAAAACGGAGAACATTTTTTATGAAAGTCTGTCACCTCTGTAAAGTGTGTGCAAATGATACAGCTAAAAGCGTCTGTTCTTACCTCTGCCGTCAGAGAGATGGTTGTACCAGAGGAGAGCAGTGCCGACAGAAGGCTTCATTCTTATGTTCCCTCTGCCACATGTCTCCTTAGTGTCAGTCAAATCAACTCCATCTTGTACCAGTGCCTGGGACACAAAACAGTAAACAGCCAGTGTTTTATCATTTATTTTGGCACATTGTGTTAATTTAGGTTTCAGATTCCTTGTCACGGGTCAGCACTGTCTGTGTGTTGTCAGCAGCAATCAGACATGTACTGTTTTCATCATTTTCCAGTGGTGAAAGGAAAAGAGACGTTGCAGGTTAGCGAGTGATATTGTGAAAGCACACCCACCTGCTCTTCATAGGTACGGTTGTCTGCCACAGGAAAGGTGGTTTCCCCACCTTCCTCTACAGAGCTGAGGTAGAACAAGATGGTAAGATACCTGGGATAAAACAAGAGGGGGAAGAAGAAGAGAAACAGTTATTGTTATCAGCAGCACCATGAATACATTTGAAATCCATGACAATAAATAAGAAAATAAAAAAATCCTACTTTCAATACAGGCATTCATTTCTTATGTTTTTCACCAAACTTAAACGTAAAACAATTTGTATTTCAAATGTATTACAGTTTTGTTTATAAAGTAAAACAATTATCCAACCATTACACCAAAATATAAACCCTCAAATAAATCAACTGAGAAAAATAAAAAAATTTAAATAATTGTGTGTCTACGTCAGCATGATAAAGAGTGTATCTGGAAAGCTATCAAAACTGGCAAAGTAACTCAGTATAAACTGTATAGGAAATACATGTCATACCGGCAAGAGACCTCTGTGAGAGCAGATTTGTTCCCTGCCATCCGTGTGTGTGTGCAGGTGGTCTCTGATTGAGGAGGGCTGCTGTCATGGTGGGCATTACTGAAGTCTCCGTTCTCATAGCGAATCACCTGCAGAGGTTCACTCAGCTCGACCAATGTGGAAGGCAGCCGTGTCAGACTGATTAGTCTGAGAAAAAGAGACAAGAGAGCAAAATTCAAGTAAATAAGAATCCATGAGTGTGTGGGCTACTATCAGAGGAGCTTGACAAAAAGTGTGTGCACAGTTACCTGTTCCTGAGGCTCTGCAGCACATGGTGGGAACCCGGGCCTTGGTAAAGCCACGTATTTTTGTTTCTCTGTTTGAACTGACTCCGGGGCTTCGCGCTTTGCTGTTGCCCGGGACGCTGGGACACATCATAAACATGCCTAAAGTCCTCCAAGGTCAGCGTGCCTATCAGGAACACACACACACATTTTAGTAGACCATTCCTTCTTTTATTATTTCATTGGACCCTGAGACATACAATAAGTACAGTTCAAATATAATTTCATTGCTAAAGACATGACTGGAGCCCTGGGAAATGTTTTAACCAGTTTTTTCATTTCTGCAGTATCATGGTTCCAGTTCAGTTTAATTTAACAATAGATAAATATGATAATTTATTCTTGTTATTTTTGTTTGTGTTTTTTGTTATTTATTTTTCTCTTTGTACATACAATCAGTTAAAAACCACTGTCTCATTTGTATATGTATATATTTTCTAAATGACAAACACTGGTTATGCATTGTCGAAACACAATAAAAAGATTTTTGATCTGAATATATGATAATTTATTTTACTTTATTGTCAGATCAAGTCTGAAAATGTTCTTGCATCACAGCAGCTCCTCTTGCAACATCAACATGGAGAAATATTAAGACAAGAAAGTAGGAGGCATTTAACATAACAATATCATCATGCTCAAGACCCTCTAACGAACATTTGACCTGGGATTTAACAGTGCATTTCATTTGAGAATTGACTGCAACAGCCTCAGTTCTCTCTTTTCCTTCATTCCTTCCCTATTGTCCAACCGTATGCTGTTATTCTCAGCTGAATGAATGTCTGTTCCCCTGGGAGACCGCGCCCCAGTCGCAACAATAGCCCTGGGTTGCCAGAGGAGAGGTGGCCGGGTAGGGGGGTGGGTTAACGAAAGAGTAGTGGAGGGGTACAGGGGATCCGGGGGAAAATTAAGAAAAGGGGTTGGGGTATAATCCGTTTTTAATGAGATAGGATGAGGCACATCCGGACTGGGATGTGTACTACGCCTGGCACAATGGCATCAGGTCAAAACGATGTCAACCCTCTTCCGGAACTGCCACTCACAAAAATCGCACGCAAGCACAGCCACCCGTCAGACACTTGCCAATACACAACCACCACAAAAACACTGAATCAAAGTGCTATTAAGTTCTCCTGGTAACCAAGAAATCACATTCAACTTCCTATTCAAAGTGAATAGTTGCTGTACTGTATGTAATGTGTGTCACAGAAATCCTTCCTGGTTAATAACTTGGATGCATTTTTTTTTTTTTTAAATCTGTGTCTCAACTTAGTATCAACTAAGATGGCGCCGCGGTTGGCTGCCTCAGTGTTGTGGTGCGCTCGGTTTTGTCTTGTTTTATGCGTTAATTCAGTTCATAACTTTTTTTTCTTTAAATATTGTCTTTATTTAGTCTTATAGTCTTTAGTTATATAGTCTTAGCTTTTAAAATTCTACTTTTTTTTTTTTTTTTGCTTACATATTCTATTTTGTGTGTCTCTGTATGCACCACTTATACCAAAACAATTCCTCATATGTTTCATTTCAGGGCACATTCAGTCTTTTACAAACTCATATTGCCCCAAAACGTAACCTTTACTGATGCAGTGCTATATGGAAAGAGTCAGAACAGTCATACATGTACATGTACTGAAACACACTCGGGGGAAACACACACAAGCCACAGAAGCACTAACCTGTTGGGCAGGCTTCCAGTCCGGTGAGTATCTGCCGTAAATTGTCTGGGTTCAACCAAGTTCCATCCTGAGAGCGCAAGTGACTCACAATCTGGAGGAAAGAGCGAAATGTTTATCTCATTTCAATGTTATCTCATTTTGTATTATTTGGAATATATTTTCCTGGAAATCTATTTCCCTCCTACAGCTCTGTGGCATACACAATCTCTCTCTCTCTCTCTCTCTCTCTCTCTGTCTGTCGTTACCTCCTCATGCTGCAGCAGCCCATCCTGGTTTAGGTCCAACAGACTGAAGACCTCGTCTGTGCTGAGAGAAAGTAGAGGCTGGTTGGACTCCTCTTGTTCCTTGCTGGGTGTTGTTGTCTGGCTCTCCATCAGACCCTTGAGCTGAGCCAGCTGCACCACTACACGGCATTCCTCCTCTGACAGGAAGCCAGGGATCTCTGACAGGAACAGGAAGAAGAAAAGAGGCACATTTTAGGTTATATGCTGCCAATACCTTTCAAAGATGATTCTAATGTGAAATGGAGACACATATCTTTCCATTACACATTATATGGAATCTGTGAAGAAAATGTTTTTCCCGGTGACATTTATTTTGTCACAGATTCTTAAAAGCATAAATTATTGCAACGCTATGTAGCCAAATTCCCAATTATGGAAATGAAAGGCTTGCATTATCATATTACCAGCAGGCCTTTTGTTTACCCAAGATTTAGAGTGAGGATCAAGGATATATAATCTATCAAAGAGAGTGTCCTGGGGAGTATGCTGCCCTCATCAAAAGAATGCAGTTTCACACGTGAAGATTAGGCAGTCGTGATACAATTAATTGATAAAATGAAGACCAACTTTTTTCCACACTTTGATATTGATGTCTATGATATCAATTTAAAACTATTTAAGCATTTCTCAAGTCTGTCCCACTAAAACCTGTGCATACAAACATGGAACTTTTACTTCACACCTGAGACAGTGAGACTTTTTAAAGTGGATTAGAAAATCTTCAAAGTGCAGGCTTGATCCGTCAGACTAAATGGATTACTTTAGATTGCTCAACAAAACCTTTCAGTGGGAAGGGGCCATTATGTTTGATCAGTGTAATCTAACAGTATGATCAGGATGGGTAGGCCCTAAAAAGCAAGACAAATCCCATATACTACTTATCAAAGTTAATTATTAAACACTTTCTCATTGAAACAGACTCATAAAAAGCAAATAGGTTAAGCACCTCTCATTTAATCTCTGTTTAGAAAATAAAGATCATGCCCGGATGCTAAATTAAATTGAATATACATGCTGTAGTAAAACAGACTAGAGGGAAGCAGGGGAAGGGAAACATAGGTCCTTTATGTGATATACTGTAATAGTTAAATGTGAGGGAAAAAACACTTTATTTGGGAGAAACAGCTTGATGCCAATTCATTATAGCTTTTCTTCTTGCATGTTTTAGTAGGAAACTAAACTAAACTCAGAAACTCTTAAGTGGATGTATATATAAACCGTGTATGTAGTAAGTACAATCTATTCCCCTCTGTCATTCCCCAGTGAGCCATTTGTGGTATAGCTTATCTAAGGGGAACGTTTAATGAGTGATAACACCAGACTTCTCCCAGAGGAGGGTGGAAACAGAGCAAGCTTCTAGGAGTCAGTAATTGCTGATATTAATTTGTTAAAATCAGTAAGAAAATATATATTTTGTGTATTTTGTTTCCAATTAAATCTTCTATTCTTATGAGTTATTGTGTTCGGTGACAATTCACATCAAAACAGGTAATCAATCTCAACATCTATCTGTTTCTCTAAATTCCTAAAAGCAAAATGTCCTATTTTATGTATTCTATTGGATACATTTTTGAGTTATTGTGATCCAAGTGTGAATGTACAAATTACTGTGTCATGGTTGTCTGTTGTTCTCTTTCAGCGATCCGTTCATGCCTGTCAGTCATTCTCCCCTCTTAATAAAAGGCTTCCGCCAGGTTGGCTGCTGTACAGTAGAGACCTTGTTTGTCACCCGTGTCTTTGACATTGTACCAACTTGGTTAATCCCTATTGTCCAGTCAAGCCTCATTAATCTGGATAACTGATATAAATGAAGGGGGCCTGAACGTTCCTCTTCTCCCTCCCACCACTGTCTCTTCCTCCCCCGGAAAGGAAGTGACCTGCTTGTCTGAACAGTATTCAGGCCATGGCTACACAGCACGACAACACAAATTGTTTTTGTGTCCTAAACACGTTTGTGTGTGCGTGTGTGAACACAAACAAAAAACACACTAGAGCTGAAAGTACTGATTATTTTCAGTATTGTTCAATTTGCAGATTCTTCTCTAACTAGTTAATTTTTCATCTGGTAAAAAAACAAATATCTAGTTTTTTTATGACCAACAATAAAAAGGCCAAAGTGTTCAGTTTAGTTGAATTGAGGATGAGGAAAAATAATATGTATGTTGATTATTTTCTCTTGAAGGGTTGTAGCTCTGGAGTTTAGTCTTATTTTTCCCTACCTATTATGGGCATATTCTGTCTGAGCAATAATACATACATACATTTTTTGTACTCTAAACAGGAAAGTGCAGGGCAAAGAGGTCAGGCTGGGAGAAGGTGGTTAAGTGCGAGTTGGAGCAAAATGCAGGATGGAATGGATGGGAGGAATTTGTACTCCACGAGAGCCAGGAACTTCCTCAATACAAGCTGTGAGGATTGAAATGCCAAATCATCCACCTTACTGATCTAAGCCCTGTCAAACACACTTAAATCTGCTCATAAATGCAAGTGGATCCACATCTCTTATAACATATTTATTCGCGCCCCACCCCTTCTCCCTCCACCTCCCCTTACCCATTCCTATGCAAATCACCGCCCACTATAAATACACCTATTCTGCTGCCCTGTCCTGCATTGTCACACAGTGATTCGCTCAAGAGAACACTTCAGGATATCTCCTTTTTTTCTAACCTCTGCCCCAGGATGCCTGCAGTGCTCTGCCCTTATTTAATCAGAAAGCCTTCTCCTCCAGCCTCCCTACTATTTCTCTTTCTGCTCGCCGGGCTAAGCAGCACAATAGCGCTTGGTAGAGTAAGGGCAGGGCTGGAGGGACGAGCGAGGGCTGAGGGAAGGGTTAGATCTGGAGTAAAAAACAAAAGCGGGGACAGGGCAAGTATTGAGGGCAACACCGAAACTGGATTTGGAGATATTCGTGTTTCTAGACCAAGAGCTGCAGCAGGAGAGGATGTTGAGGAGTGGGGGGAGCCTGATACTACTACTGGCTACAGGTCCATGCTTTCTATAGGTGAGGGTGGACTATGGGAGCCCCGCAGTTCCTCTCGCTGTGTCCCTATACCATCAGGCATGGCCTTGTGCCAAAACATTGGATATGACACTATGAGGATGCCCAACCTTCTGGGACACGAGTCTCCAGCTGAAGCTATACAACAGAGCGCCAGCTGGTTGCCACTGCTGGCCAGAGAGTGCCACCCCGATGCCCGCATATTCCTCTGCTCTCTCTTTGCACCCATCTGCCTCGACAGGTAAGTACACAAAAAAGCTTTATTCAGTGAAATATATTGTCAATTCTACTTTTGGTGGGCACTGTCAAGTGCTCACAAGGTATTATATGGAAATGTTTGCCATTGTTGTGGTGTGCTAGCCAGGATTAAAGTTAAAACCACACTTACAGTAGGCTTAGAATGATCAGTAATGACTAGTATCAACAGTTAACACATTTAAAGCTATGCAAATTGGGGCTAGTATCTGAGGAGAGGCCCTGATTTTAGACAGAAACCAAGCCATCAAAGGATTTTAATCTCCTTATGTCACATTAGCACCTCTCTGTTTACAAAAACAAGCAACCAAATTAGATTTAATCTCATCTTGTTTGCTCCCCACCAGTTCACGATTGTTTCAAATCCTTTTATCTATTCAAAGCTGACGATGTTCTTCTCTCCATCTTTTCTTTATCAGGTTTATATCGCCTTGTAAAAGTTTGTGCGAATCTGTACGAGACAGCTGTGCACCAATCATGAGTTGTTATGGCTACCCCTGGCCAGAAATACTGCGCTGTGACCAGTATCCTGCAGACCACCTCATGTGTATCTCCTCTATCACCAACAGCACTGTTCACACAGGGGGGCGAAGAGGTAAGCAGCTGGCTTAATAGAGACATTTGGTAGAGTTGACTTTATTTAGTTGTTGATTCAATTAGTGTTTTAACCCTTTCAGCACCTCAGGCAAGCTGTCGGGATTGTGAGCTGGAAGAGGCCTCCTCTTCAAAAGACGTACTGGAGACATTTTGTAGAAGTGATTTTGGTGAGTAACAATCTTCTTATATGTCCTATCTCCTAAGTTTTACATTCATTTTGGACAATTCATTGACATACTACCCATTATTAAGTTGATGCCAATCTTGTTTTTATTTATCTTCTTTCACCCAGTTCTGAAACTGCGTCTAAAACGTCTCAAGGACAGCCTAGTTAGCCTGTCTCAGTTCTCGCTGGCTGCAAAGCTGGATGTTCTAAAGCATGGACCACTGTTAGGAGGGGAGATCCGGTCCCGCATCGAGCTGTGGCTGGAGAGGGATGCCACCTGTTTAAGGAACATGACGCGACACCACCCACGGGGCGGGACCTTCCTGGTGACAGGCACAGTGCAGGGGGAGCGCCTGGTGGTCATTAAGGCTTTCGCCTGGCATAGACGACACAAGAACCTGAAGGCAGCTGCGCGCAAATGGAAACATCATAGATGCAGGAGCTAGGTTTTATGTGCATGGTTAGAATTATGACTCAAATGAGCTGTGGAACTAGCATTAAACAGGTATGCAGAAATGACAGAAATTGAATGAAAGGACAGCATTTACATTTCAACTGAATACCTGTGATGGTCAATTATGCTTGGTCTATTATTTAAAAATCCATTGTTAACCTCTCTGGTTATGGAGGAGATAATATGCAGTCATATGGTCACAAAGGAGCCCATAAAGTACCAACACTGTCTCTAAGGCAGTAGCGTTCAAAGAAAGAAAGATGTTAAATAGAAAATTGTACATATCTGTGAATTTTAAGTGTATATTGCTAGTTTATATTTGTATGGCTTTGAGAAAAAAATAAATGTTGTGTTCTAAATCCTAAAGAAATGCAATTTATTTATGAACAGCAGATCAAACCCTTAGACCACTTTGCTCTTACCAAACAGCAGAGGTTTCAGGCTCATCGTCCTCATCTCATGTGTTCGGTCTGGCAGGAGGGACACCTGCTGAACATGACCCACCTGCAGATGGACAAGAAGCATCGTCAACACACTCATAATCAGCGGGAATAAATGCAATCTAGAAATTGCTATAGCAGCTCAATATTACATTGCACTCTGATAAATCTAAACTGCAAAATTACAGTCAATCAATGACCGTCCTTTACATTTCAGATGTGATTGACAGGGCTGGGGATTACATCGGTTGGTGATTATATGTGGTTATTAGCCAGAGTGGGAGTAGAAAATAATTCCTGACACTGTCACAGATGTTTTTGTTTTGTTGTTTTAATTATATTAGTCCTACAACTTAATATACTTTTAATGCAAACTATGAGTAACCATATTTTTTTCACTTTGGTTTAAGATTCCAGATATTTTATTGTCATACAGTATAACAGGCAGTTGCACTGTACAATAAAATGAGTATGTTCAGCTGTCAGCACCTAAATATAAATAAACTATACATACATATAAGAACATCTAAAAAAATAAGCTGACAAAAGAAAATCCTGTCCCAGAATAAAAGTGCACAATGTGCTGCATGACACAAAAATAAACAAGATATATAAACAGCAGAGTACGGTGTATAAATATATAAATACGCATTAAAATAGAGAGATATAACAATATGAATATACATGTAACAGGATGGGTATCAGTGTGTAAAACAATAGAGGGACAGGGCTGATGATCATGAATAGGATCATGTGAGGGGAGGGGAAATTGAACTGAAAAACCTATTGACTGTAGGATTTCCCCCAGTGAGTTGAAATGGTATATTTCATCGTAGTGTTATGATGACAGTTTTCTTACCCGTATCCCCTCAATGCGAGGGAGACCGACACTCTGACTGTAGTCCTCCACGTGCAGATCGCTTGCAGCGGGGTCAGGATGGGGCAAAGCGGCTCCTCTGTCGCTGACTGAGGCTGAGGGGGCTCCGTCTCCACTGACAAGTTCCCCGGGCCCGTTGTTATAGTGCACATACAGCAGCAGGCCGATCACATTCAGGATGTATACATGGAAGAAGACCATGACTACCACGAAATAAGCCCGAGAGCACACGCTACTTCTCTGGATGTTCATCCGACTGGAGCGAAACTTGGCTTTGGGGGCCGATGGTTGATCCTCGTCGCCGCAGTCGCCACCATGCTGCTCCAGTAAATCTTCCAGAGAGTCTTCCATTTTCGCACCAAAGGACCGCACTGGCACACCGGAGGTATTTATTTACAGGGTAGCGTTACTGCCTATCACTTTACAACTGTTTGATAGCATTAGCTGGCTGCTTGACGTTAGCAATGCTAGCTAGCTACGGGGACAACCACTCTGCAAACCCCTGGCGTTTTCAATTAAAAACGTCGCTGTCTTCTCTGCTTCTTTTACACAAACAAACAGGGCACTTCAGAGTGAATATGCATGGCTGGCGACAGTCGTTTTCGTTGATGCATAAATGTGTCATCATTCCCTAAAATCCCCTAATCCTGTGTTGCTAGCTTAACTGACTGGAGCGCTGCCCCTGACAACCTGCCTAACAACAACGGGCAAACAAACGACAGCACATAAACCGTCACTTAGCTCTTTCAGTAAACGGTTAGCGCCCTCTAACGGTCAACGCCAGAGCAACAATATGGACCATCGACCTTTTAACATGCACAGAAGAGGTGGAGTCAAAGAATAATATCCTCCATAAAGGTGTATTTTCTGTACTTTTACCAAAGTCAAATGTTATTACATACGTTTTCCTTGTAGTTGAGTCATATAACATTGGTGTATTGGTACAATATTTCGATTTGTATAACCAATGGGCCTGGTAGTGGTGGAGTAGTATGCAATATGTTCCTTATGTGAAATATAATTTTGAAGTAACAGAAATAAGTATAAGTACCTCGTTTTTTTTTTAAATAAAACAATTACAGGATGTGATTCTAGACGGAAATTGTTCAGTATTGTCCATTCATGTTTCAATTGGGGGAACTACAAGAGTAGAGACCCTGCACCCCTAATTTGTTTCAATAATCTTAAATATGTTAAAATTATAAACTGAGGTTGTCAGATACATTTTTTGGTCATGGGAAACCACAGCAAATAAACGTTTTTACAGGCTGCATTCTTCATATGTAAAATATGTGGAGGGCCCACCTAATCTACTAATTATATTTAAATTAAATGTGATATGATCTAAAACTATGAACTATAAACTCTAAACTACTTTGCTGCAACCTAGTTCTTTAACAATATGATCTACCTTGCATTTCTATAGCAATTTACATGGTTTAGTTGAAACTGTCACCATAGGATTTTCACAGGATAAGTGTATTAATCTGTCCTATCAATGAACACATTCTGCAACATTGTTTAAATGAACCACACGGTGGCAGTAAAGTCCAGACCAGCAGGCAGATTGTTCTTCATCAACTGCGTTTGCTGTGTCATCTGTGATTCCTGACGTAATTGTTATGGATCTTGGTGTTTCCCGGGAAAAAAGTGTTCACTTTATGTTATATCACTTTTATTTAATTCAAAAATACATTTGAAGCACGTTATTGAAAAATGGTGTTATCAGTACTCAGAGTACCCAATAAGGTAGTAGCCATTTTACATCAAAGGGAGAATACGCATGTTAATTAATGTAAATGCCCCTAATTAAATGTAATGCAGTTGACCCACCCAACTCATCTTGTGTTTTAAATGCTGGTGGCCATTAATTTATCGTGTACATCCTTTTTTCTCAATTCCGGGACCTTAGGAAATGTATTTTCACTAAACTTGGCAATATTCCTTTATATTTTGACTCACTGATACCAACTAAGCAGTGGAGGATCACTGTTGAATTTCCATAATTTTCAGTCTATGCATTATTCACCAGGAATTTATCTGAGGTTTTTAAAATGGGAATGGGGCTTGGATAATTCAGGCTAATTTCCCCGGTGACACCGCCCCTCAAATTAATCAGTTTGACCCACCTTTTTTTTTTTACGAAGAGAGAGAAAGAGAGTTGTGGGTGGAGGTTAGAGAGTACACAAATTCAAAATCTCGCACACACACACACAAGCTTTCACACACCCCTTGCGGTGTTTTCCGGGATCACGCCACTGCTTCCACTTGGGATCCACACAGCAGCAGCGATATGGCTGATCATCACCGGACGGGACGTTGCTGTTTATAAGCGAAAGTTAAGACAAATAGTGCATTATTACGGTTCAACGATGCACTTCTCAGGGCGACGGGACACTGCAAGACACCGTATCACCCAGGGATAAGATTTACCCGAGTGGTAGTAGGTAATCTGGTGTGTTTTACAGCAAAGTAGTTGGAGGAACTTGTCGCAGTGGATTCATCCCAGCGTGCTGCCTGGATTACCATACTGAAGTAGAACAATAGTCCCTTGCTGCAGAAACACTAGCAGGTCAGTGGAAGCGGCATTTGTGTTTGTTTATGTCTTAACTCCACGTTTTGATCGTGTTACCACAATGTTGGGACAGCAAGCAGTCATAACCCGATTGTCCTATCAACCTGACATTGCAGGTGGACTTATTTTCCGTCTGATTTAACAAAACAAAGGTATTTTGATGATTTTGACGGGGTTATACTGCATGGATGTGCCTCTATGTGGAACTGATGGGGGGGGGGGGGGGGGGGGGGGGGGGGGGGGGGGGGGGGTACTGGGGGTGATAGGCTACACATATCACTGCAAACCCCGAATCGCTGTAGGAAAGTGACACCACAGCAGACAAACCGTGTTAAATAGCGATAAGGACACCATAGACCGAGTGAAATCAAATTACCTGGAGCTATGTATTTAACATATTACAATGATTTCGTGTTCCTAACCAATGTTTATACCCAAGCATAACATCGGGATACTCTCAGAGGTGATTCCAGTGCTATACACATTGAGTTTGTTAGCCGGTCGGTGGCTGGGTAAACTCTTTCTTTGCCCCTGCCTGACTCTCCTCCTGCCGGATACTAGCGTCAGGAAACACGGCGAGGATGAGAAACTGACCGAAAACCACACAAAAGGCCTGAAAGGTAGAGGAATCTCTGCCAGCCACTGCAGGAGGCCCGACACGAACTACGATTTTGGATATAGTCCTCCCGTGACATTTGTCGTGCTTGCTGCCCCACTTATGTGCGCTCAGCCTACAGTCATGTCTAGTTACACGGGATATTGTCAGGACACTAGCTCGTCCGCAAATGTGACAGTACAGTCCTGCGGTCACGCACTGTAGTCGATATCCTCGTGGATGATCGCCGATTGCAATCCGTGTAACACCAACATAGGATGAACAGTTAATGCCTTAAGAAAAAATAATGTAGGCGAACACGTAATTTCTCAGCGGAGTGTTTGGAATGACATTTAGCTCTAAATTATTCAGATAAACACTCAGTGTGGGATGTCCGGATCGAAAATCATGCGCATCCGCCACTGCCTTTGCCTTTCCGATACAACACGATTGAACCATCTCTTATCATTCTGCACTTTCAGCCCCGAGTTATTACTCTCATTGTATTTGATTTAATGTATAACAGTCTTTTATAATGGCAATTGGATTACAGTTTTGGTAAGGGCCTCGACAGTATCTAAAAACACTACGAATGTATGACTTTTCTTTAAAACCTATTTGTATGCCAAGTGAGGCTTCCTGCATGAGTTTGTGTTCGCTGTAATGTCCTGA